CTGCAAAAATGTCAACAATTCTGTGTTTTTCTGTCAATATGGGGTGCTATGTGTACATTAATGAGGAAAAAAAATTAACTTAAATGATTTTAGCAAATGGCTGCAATATAACAAAGAGTGAAAAATTTAAGGGGGTCTGAATACTTTCCGTACCCACTGTATTTTACATATTTTTACACAACTTTTTGCTCTGATTAGAATTTTAAGCAATATGTAATGCTTAACAGATCAGATAACATTGAAATATTTGAAAATTAATGAATCAAATTTTCATAATATTTTAATTAATTGTCTAGGCCTCTTATATTAAACATTCTATAGCTATAGTATTTGTTATTAAAGTTATTTTAAATGATTATATATTATGAGGTTCTCATTTTTTTGTCATCTATACTAAGGAAAATGCTTTGCTCATGAATATTAATGACATACGACATTTACGCAGCATGCATAACTTGCTGACTGACAGAATGATGTTAAGTGTGTGCTAATCAGCTTTAGAATGAACAAATCCTACTGTTGTAAAGGTTTTGGCTCATAAATATTTAATGAGCTACTTGACTGGACACTTCCTCAAGCTTACGAAGTGATGTCTGCATGAGCCAGTTAATATTTACACACTAAACCTTTCTAAAATTTCATGTTAAATGATACATACAGGTTAGTTTTTGCATTAGAAAAATGAACAGAACAGAAGCGTTTTAAAAAGAATCTGCAAAATTCTTCACATTTGCACAACGTTATTTTCACTTTCAAATGCGAGTGCTTGATTACAGTCAGTTGATATTTTAGTATGTCTACTGTCCACTTTGGTGAAACAATATAAGCATTCGAGAACCATTAATGGAACCTAATGTCATAAAACCATGTGTCCCAGTATATAGCCTATATTTTTAAAAATGGCATCCTATAGCGTAGGGATGTAACGGTATGAAAATTTCATATCACGGTTATAGTGACCAAAGTTATCACGATTATCAATATTATCACGGTTTTGTTAAAATTAGATGAACATGTTCAAAAAGAACTGATACACACACTGAAAACATTTCAATAAGTTTTATATTTGAAAATCAACAAACAACAAATACAATTAGCAGCTATATGCACTTTTTTAGCATAAAAATTAAATTAACATTAACATGAAGCTCTAATAATAATAATAATAATAATAATAATAAATCACTTATATATATATTAATCTCTAATCAATATTTTTTGTCCAATTATTTGCCCAGTTAGTTTTGGTATTGAGGTAAAAGTTACCTTGCATTCGCTATATAACAGTGGGTGGTGGTCACGAAGATGACTGAGCAAATTTTATGCGTTTCCCCCTTTTGCAGCGACTTTCTTCTTGCAAGATCAGCAGACAGGGTGACCGTCCTCGATTAAATTGCCTTCAGGACTCTTGTAAAAGCCCAAATACGACCAGACCACCGATTTGGTTCTCTTAGATGGCTGAAAAATCTCCCGAGCGCTGTCACTGCCTTCCGCCATTTCCTCTCGTGCAAAAAAAACAACAACAACAACAACAACACTGCATGCTGCTTCTGCGTCAGACTAATGCTGGCTGGACAGGATTTACCGCGAGTTTTCAAAATCGCGATAATCAAATACGGTTTTGATGATAATTCAATTTTAAACGATAATACTAACCGTCAGGGCATTTTATCGTGATTTATCGTGAAACCGGTAATCGTTCCATCCCTACTATAGCGGTGATTTGAGGTTGGAATTGGATTGGCCCGGCCCACTCTTATCTGCTGTAACAGTAAATGTATGACTTCCGCCTCCTCTGCACAGCATCCGTATGCTCTAAATGCATCTCCCACCTTGACACTCCGTATGAAATTACTAGGGATATGCCGGTATCAAATTTTCATGTTGCGATTAATTGTTAATGCTTTTATTACGGTATACGGTATTATCACGATGTTGAAATTAAGTTTAAAAAAAAAGTGCTGTCCATAATACAGTATAACAGGTTTAATAACTTTTTTCTTATAACAAAAATAACTGAACATTTAAATGCAATAAAGCAATACAGAAAAATGTACAAAGTTAAAAGTTTTACACAGATTAAAGTGCAAAAGAACTATAAAGACCAATAGGTATCACTTTACAATAAGACCTCATTAGTTAACCTTAGTTAATGCATTAACATTCACAATGAGCAAAAGCTAATGTTAACTAATGAAGCCCTAATGTAAAGTGTGACCGAACAATAAAGAATCAAAACACTTTCAAACAATATCTAGGGCATGTTGTAGTCCAGATTAAAATGTATAAAATAAATATTCTGTGTGGTGGTCCGTTCATACTGATAGAAATTAATCTTTTCCAATAAGTTTAAACTGATTTTTGCATTTTATGGGCATTTTTACCTTTATAAAGCCATTTTTTCTAAAAGTGTCCATTATCTTTTGAGTCAAATTCTTACATTTAATCAGTGAATTAGAATAATAAGACATTTGGGCTGTTACCAAGCAAATTAAATCAACACAGAAGCTGCATCTGAAGTGGCATTTAGATGTATTTACACACATGTATTTTGTTTAATGCAAGACATGAATGCATTTAACCTGCAATTACAAATGCATAAATAATGTTTTGATATATTAAACATAAAACGTTGAATACTGATATTTGAAATGATTTAAAACATGAAAAAAATCAACAAAAAAGAAAAGAAAAAAAGAAAAAAGAAAAAGCCGATTTTTGAAATTAAAACCGCCAGCAGGTGGCAGCAAATCACTGTTAATAAGTGAGTCATTGCGATTGAACCGAATCATTTAAACGGTTGATTTATTCAAGAACGAAACACCGTCATGTTGCTCAGAGACACAAAACAGGGCTGTGGCTGTATTCGGGATGATTTTTGTTGGCGAAATAGAGCAAAAACAAGCAATTTATGGTGTCTAAAACGTAAGTCTCTTAATTAACTTATTGTTTATTGAATTCAATGTCACATTTGTATTCATGGTAATTTTTGGAGAAAAACGGCACTCTTCGTGTGAAATTGAATATATGAAGTGGTATAAATATATACATTTTCTGCCGTCATGTCTTGAATTTGTGATTATTCTAAATTCATTTTAATAGACTGAATCATGCAGTGAAAGAACCCACTCTAAATGCGCACACGCACTAGTCTAGACTACGCTCTGTAGGGATGTTTTGAATGGTTTTTGCAAAATACTCGATAATGTCAAATCGCACATCGTTAAAACAACAATTACAATATTATTGCAGACGATATATATCGCACACCCCTAGTACTGATGCACTTTAGTTCCCCATCAGATATTGGCGATATGAAATGCTGTGTCCCTTCTGAGAAAAACGAACGTATCCCATCAGGCCTTGGGTGGAGTGAACTGGCTCTCTCAATGGGGTTGAAGAAGAGTTCTTGCTTCTGTAGGACTTAGCAGAAGAAAAAACCCCATTGGTATTCAGAGAGGCTGTGCAGACGGAGTAATTAGACAGTGAGTGTAGTTGTTCTTCCATTAACCCCAGGTCTTTCTCCATCTTTTTCTGCTCTGAGTGGTCGCAAAGTACCATGTTAAGATGGAGGAGCAATCTTCCATTTAGCTCTCCAACTTGCATTTTAACGCAACATGCCCCGCTCTTCACATTCATGACTGTTTTGAGCGCAGACAGATTTATATTTTCCCTCTCTGCCAATCTTGAAATCGAAGCTTGCACATATTAATATTCTCCTGAGAGCCGTCTAAAGCACATGGGCAAACATAAGCCTGGAATTAACATCTGTCTTAGGTCATCCGATAACCAGTGGTCAGCTGAGATGGATTAGTGTTTACTGCATCTTAATTACGCATAAAAATGTGCAGAACATCTGAATATTATTGTTCTCAGATGTATTTTTAATGCAGAAACATGCCTGATTGGAGTCAGGAAATTCAGAGCATTTGAAAGGAATAGAAATTTGCTGAAAATGTACTCCCCCACAGGCCATCCCAGATGTAGAGAAGTTTGTTTCTTCATGGGAACAGATTTGGGGAAATTGCTCACCAGTGGATCATCTGCAGTGAATGGGTGCCGTCAGAATGAGTCCAAACAGCTGATAAAAGCATCACAATAATTCACACCAGTCCAGTAAATCAGTAATTGTCTTGCGAAATGAAAAGCTACATGTTTGTAGTAAACAAATCCATCAAGACATATTTAATGATTTAAAGATTCTGCTTCTAAAATACTCTATCCATAATTTGTTTTCTCTAAAAACGTCGTCTCATCTGAATCAGGAGAGAAATCTGCACCGAATTCTCTACTTCAGCAGCACTTACATACACCAAACTTTATAGCTTTATTCCTATCTATATTCTGAAAGTTTTTACAGAAGTTTGTTCATATATCATTTGCCTGATTTATATGACATTTTATTCCCAAAAACATGGTGAAAATGTATGTTTTCTCTCTGCATGTTGACAGTTTTTTGATTTATGGAGTGACAAAAAGAGATCCAAAATCTCCTCTGTAAAAACCTTTAGCTCCAGTGTCAACAAGAATTTTGAACCTGGCTTTATCCTAGATTGCTGCAAATGTATGCAAATGAATGCATATTTAATAAGATGATGCCTCTTACATATTTAAAATTTTTAGAAAACTTAATATTCATACAAAACAATTGTCTCAGTTAAACTTTTTACCCTATTCACCTGTGGTGTCTTGCATTAAGATCTTGAAAATGTGTTCTTTTTGACATGCCTAGTTAAATGCTAACCAGTTCACTCAAGTGTTTGTGCGCATGCAATTGCGTACCTGGTTACACCTCGCAAATCTTCGTGCAATAAACTCATATAAATGTTATTTCTGCCCGCTGTCGCTCCTGCAAAGGCGACACAAAGACACTTTAAATGCCTTTAGGGGGAGAAATTGCATCATATATTATTCAATTTGCTTCGGCAGGCCCAAATTTAGTTTCGCAAGAAATGTTTCCTCGCAGGTTTCTGATCAGGCTGTGTGTTTGTGTGCGTCTGCAGGTGGTGTTGAAGATCATTAAGCACTACCAGGAGGAGGGCCAGGGCAGTGAGGTGGTTCAGGGTGTTCTGCTTGGCCTGGTGGTTGAAGACCGTCTGGAGATCACGAACTGCTTCCCCTTCCCCCAGCACACCGAAGATGATGTCGACTTCGATGAAGGTGAGGTGAACGGCAATCTCCAGAGCTCCATTCTCTGGACGGTTAATCATTGATGATTGCGCTCGGCGCTCTGGGAAGCAGCGAGAGAGGGATTATTTGGATTTCAGGGCGAGAGAACTGTGAAAAGGGGAATTGCATTTCGCTTGTATTTTTTTTTATAGTGTAATCACGATTCGTTTTGATGAATAGAATTTGCATTAAAATGCCTGCTTTGTGTGGGGCGACTATATTTTATTTCACCACACATCCGAAACAAGCTGCGAGCGGTGTTCCTGAATTAATTAATTGCTGTTTTATACATCATTAAATCAAGACAGTGACTAAACGGTCAACTATGATCCTCTTAGCAGCATGAAAAACAAAACTCTTCATATTTGGAAGAAATTACACAGAAAGCAAGCAGCGCAGCAATGCTAGAACGCTCCCATTGTAATCACTAAAGCTGTCACTGCAAATTTACAGTTTTAACGCAGCTGTTTGATTCCCACCAACACTCCCATTGCAATAAATAAAGCTGTCTAAACCATTTGTTTTTAAAACAGGGAGCTCCAAGGGTTATTTGGGGTTCTGTAGTATAATATATTTATTTATGATAAATATATTTAAATAATAAATAATATCAAATAACAATTAATAATGATAATAATAATAATTATTATTATTATTAGTTGTAGTAGGAGGAGTAACAGTATTTGATTAAAATACAGTTATTATTGTAAAATTTATTACATATCAAAATAAATGTTTTACAATAATAATACTAATAATAACAAAAAGTTATTAAACTATTATTGCAAATATAAAATAAATTTAGTAATTAAAAAATATATATATTTGAAATGTTTTAATAGTTTGTTGTATTTTAATTAAAAAAAAATTATTTTGCTTTTTCAAAAGTGTTCCGCAATCATGAGATTAATCACAATGATCACAATTATTGTCAACAGTCCTAGATTTTAACTGCACATTATTATTTTTTATTATTATTGTATTAAAGTAGTTCCTTTTGTATTTTAATAAAATTGGTTTTATTTTGCTTTTTAAAGAGTGGTCAGCAATCATGAGATTAATCATAGTTATTTTATTCTGTTGACAATCTTAGATTTGAACAATAAATGCATAGAGAAGAGATGTTCTGTCAGCTTTAATACTCAATAAATCTTTTCCGGTGGTTGTTTTAGTAATGGCTGTGTAAGAACATAAAACCCTATAATTTAATTTTGTAGTAATTTTGGATTTTTAAGAGGGGGGTCTCTTGCAAAGGGAGTCCTATTTTAGATGTCCTTGGTATGAAAATGTTTGAAAACCCCTGGTCGACACAATTTACATTCATGTTGAAGATAATGGGAACATTGTACTTTTGTTGCATTGCATGTTGGTTTGTTACATTACATGCTAGGGCTGGGCGATTTGATCTAAAATCAAAACCTCGATTAATTAAACACTTTACCTCGATTACGATTGTTTAACGATTATTTTTTTTACATTTATTTATTTACTTATGAAAAAAGTCACATTTCAGTTTTATTGTAAAAAGCAAGTTTCCTAAAAAAAAAGAGAGAAAATAACTTCCATTTTTTTGCAAACAAAATAAATGAATATTGCAAACAAAATACATTTTAAATAGTGTCATGCGAAAAATAGAAAATAACTTGTATCTCTTGCAAATTAATATAATTTTAAAAATACAATGTGAAAAGTAGAAAATAACAACTTGCATCTCCTGTAAACAAATGTTTTAAATAATGAATGTATGCAAATACAACACTGCTGATTAAGAGACAGAGCATGGCACCATCTCATTGGTCTTGTCCTGTCACACTATATGTGCGTTTACTCTAGGGTTCTTACAGTCCGTTCTCACAGAACACGTCTTTGTGTCTAAAACCGCGAGACGCAGCGCTCAGGAATGGTTTAAAAAAAAAAACGCAGCGCAGAATGCCTACTCTGTGTTGTCAACCTGCTACTGTAAACAAAAGCTCGCAACACTTGCCCCGCCTCCAGGGTCTTCTGACTTATTGATCCACTGTTTTGGAACTGACTTTGAGCGGCGCTGCATGTAAACGTTTAAATTCTTTTAGTGCGCCACTCATGTGCGAGACGCAGCAAAACACGTGAGTGCAACGGTCATACACGTCCGTATAGCGCCTACGCGGTAGTATGTTTTTTAGGGGAAAGTATTAATAGGATTAAAAAAACGAAATAATCAACATGGGAAAATTACGTTGGTTAGATTCTGAATTTCGGTTTCGATTAATCGTCCAACCCTATTACATGCTACTTTGTATTTGGCACAACGTATTGTAAATCCAAAATAATTCCAATAATTTTGTGTGATTGTATCATTTGTGCATGATGTATGTGTGGATCAGACTGCTTGGTTGTCATTTTGGCAAATTTAAACACCTCTGCATTTAAGCAGTTTATTAATTCACTCAATAGTCTTGATTGTTTTAATTGATTGTGCATCTCTACCCTTACATTGATTTTTGTATCATACACTAAGGGAGGGTTATACTGCAGTTATTTCCAGCTCGACTTGCGCTTATTGCCGTTTTTGCTCTCCAGCTGTAGCATTGCGTCGTTCTCTCCATGGCAGGAAGTGTTTATTAGTTTTCTGCACTGGCCTGGTCCAGCGGTGGTTGTAATTATCTCCTGGACCTTTATCGGCCTGGCGTCAGGCGTCGTGAAGAGGTCAGCCCCCATCCTTGGCACTTTGACTGAGTGAATGACCTTGCCGTTAGAGGCTGCTTGTTAGCGGTGTTGAACCGTTCGGCTGGGCAGAGCACTAACAAGCTGCAAGTCCAGATGCAGCAGGACCAGAGACCAAACCGGTGATGGTGTCCAAGGACGACTGCTCAGAGACTCCGCTTTATCTCTGTAGCCAGCGTAAGAAATATCGCTCCCTAATGCTGCCGTGGCTTGAATCAATACAGCAATGCCTGTTATGTGGATACAGAGATACACTTGCCGTGATAAGAGCAGGCCTGAACTCAGGTACTGTACATCTGCTCATATATTTACCACAGGGATGCGCTCTGTTATTTCAAAGCAGCCAATAGATCAAGAGGCTGGTCTCTTGCTGTGCACTCTCAACAGTACATGAAAGTAGATTAGTAATTCAAGTTTTTGCCACCAGTGAAATTTCTCTGTTCTCCATACTAATTTTGATACTGCAATAAATTATGCTAGTGAACCCACTCATTTAACAAATGATTAAATATGTAAGGGAATGTTGCAATGAAGCACATTGAAATGTAAGCATAAATGCATGTCATGTCCTATTTATTTATTCATACTTTCCCTTTTGCTTTTATTTATTGATTTAATTCATGATATATTGATTTGTTTTTCATTTTAAGGGGTATTTCAGGTGTTTTTCGCATCCCATTTCGCACCTTATTTATGCTTGCTTTTCATTGTACTTTCATTGTACATGTTATTATTTCAGCATTCCATTTTCCATAACTTTGTGTTAATAATTCATTTTTATTTAGTTTAGTCTGTTAAATCCTTCCGTATTCAAATGATTCTCAATGTGATAAACATTGTTTTTATTCAAGCAAACAGTTAAGAAAATAAAATTAAGGCCAAAGAACAAATTACAAGCACATCATTGTTTATTATCATGTTTTGCCCTTTAAAAGATCAGAAATGCTTTAGGTTTCAGACTGGGATTTTGACCATATCAGCATAAATTTTTCATTTTGTGGCATAAATGCATTAAAGTAACTTGCAATTATCATTAGTTTTGATTACTTAATGACAATATATACACAGTCAGACATGCTCTTTTTGCAGCTGTGATGCCTGATTACCAGATTAAACTCGCCCCAAGTCTTTTTGTGATGATTGGTGGTTTAGAGCACCTTTATAGCATTGCTATAAATTGATTGCCAAGTTTAAGGTTGGTACATAAGACCAATTAAAACCCACTTTAAAGAATGTTTATAAATAGCACTAGTATTTTATGTTCTAAATTCATATTTTGTATTAATGAAATGTTGTCATTTATCAATGCAAATTCATCACAAAAAGAATTTGCTAATATTGTCCAAAACCACACTTTGCTTATGGTCGCTTGAGAACTTTACTTAAACTAATGGCGCTTTTCCACTGCGTGGTACGACTCTGCTCAGCACGGCTCAGTACGGCACGGCATGGTACGGCTCGGATCAGTTTGCGTTTCCACTGCAGTTTAGTACCGCTTTAGAGTGGATGGGATTATTCACATGTCGTTATAGTTGCACCGCCTCTACTGCCGAGATTCCTAAAAAACTTTTTCATTCTGCTTCGCCCCATCAAGCTCTCGCTGGATCCGCTCCTCGGCTATCAACGAGAGGAACGTCTGTACTTCCTCGACAAACAACGAAACAGCCATTTTTTGGTTGTTAAAAAAGGTGTGCTCCTTCAAAACAGTTGCGTTCGATCCTTTGCTGGCTGTGCTGATTTCAATCTAGCGGTTCTGTTGTGTCTCTTTGTCGCAAGTTCAGTGATTCAGGTAGTGACGATTCTCTCCGGCCAATCAGTGATCATTAGAGTTTACACGTCACGTTTTGGTAACAGTACGGTTCACTTGGAACCTCAACCGAGGTGGTACTGAAAAAAGTACCAGGTACTGTACCCAGTGGAAAACCCCCCAAAAAGTGAACCGTACCGTGCTGTACCATGCAGTGGAAAAGCGCCATAAGACATTTCAATTATTGTTAGAAGTAGGGATGTGAACTACAACTTATGCAGTGTTTCCCATACATTGATTTATTTGTGGCGACCCGCCACAAAATCAAAACTGACCGCCACAAATAGATTTTCCAAAAGGCTTTGACTTCGTTGAATAAACATGAGCACTGCACGTTTCAAAATCGAAACCCGGTGTGGGTGTTTTTTATCACTGTATTTCTGAAAGAATCCAACTGTCTTCAGAAAATTTTGGATGTCATTTTCATTTCATCTTGCATGTAATGCCTGATAAAGCAGCGTTTGTGAGCTGAGCTCTGCAT